CCAACCGTAATGCTGTTGGGAATTTAGGGCTTAGGTTCTAGCAATGTAAAAGGATTTGGGGGGCAGGTGTTAGGGTTTAGGGATTCGGGATGTAGACATTAAGGCTCGAGTTGGGGATTTTAGCTTTTTTGGATTTAGGGTGTAGGGATTCCTATTAAATTTGGAATAACAAGAAGAGACACGGTCCCTTTCAAACCTANNCATTGAGGCTGGTGTGGAAGACTTAAATTCAATTTCAAGTTGCCCTTGGAGAATGCACCAAAAAAAACACTTAAAATCGATTTTAATTCCCTGCTACCGCCCTTCCATGACTTGAAATCGATTTTAAGTCAAATCTGATATCACAATCCAGACTCATCCCATCATTCATCGACCCCTTCCAAGACCATCCCAAACTCCCGAGCTACCAAATCTGTGCCTGACCCGGCTTGGCCGTGCTGCGCCTTGGGATTGTGAGAGCATCCAACTTATCTTTGCTAGCCCTCAGCACAAACCAGATTTCCGCCCAGAGGCTTGGCTGCTTTCGGCGGAGGTCCTTACTTGCTCAGTCTGGCTTGCTGGTGGCTGCTAGTGCGATGTGTTGATCACCAATCCAAGACCGTTTGCAAAATACCGGTCAAGGCCATTTGCTGGAGAAGGTGCCGTCGTCATCGTCATCATCCAGCGCCTGGCTGCATGGGAAACATCTATCTCTACTGTGCTGCCCACAACACATAATCACAAGTTTGGTTATAATCCCCCTTAAGTAGATAGAATATGAAGTATATGGTGGGGATCTTATTATAATATAATATACCCAAAGCCATATTCTGTCTACTTAAGGGGGCTATATATGTGAAGATGTCCTGCCTCTGCAGCGCAAGCCCCCTTCGGCTGCTTTGCTTTACCCTGCCATGTCAGGCAAATGAGTAACAAAAGACTGCCTATTGAACAGCGGCACAGAGATGCCTAAATGAAGTAGGAGTTTCCATTTTATTTTCCATTATCCCTATTTTGCAGTTTCCACTTTATGCTCCATTATCCCTATATAACCCCTTTACAACCCTAACATTTCCCCAACCCATCCAAGATTTGCAGGGTGGTTAACCGGCTTCTCTCTGCGTCGATCTGTGGGACTGCAGGACTTCTACTGACGAGCAATCAGCTTTCAGTCAGTACTTCCCTTCCATTGTTGTTCTGTGTCGTGCACTGAAATCATTGTACAACATCCCACACAAAACCATTATCACCATATAGCCCCAATATATATATATATCCTGTTATGATGTAGTTTCCATTTTCTTTTCCATTATCCCTACATATCCCCAATATTACCGCAAGGGCACATGAGCCCTGACAAGCAGCACCTGCGTAGGCTCGTCCACCTCTACCACTCCCTGCCATCGAAGCTCCAACAGTTGACCACTCAGTTTGTCATGCAAGCTCATGTAGGGGGGAAGAAGAAGTACATTGACTTGTTGTATCTGCATCCAGCCCCCGGCCTCTTGCGCTTTTCTAGTGTCATCATCCTGGTCAGTAGCAATAACATGAATAATAGAAACTTAAAAAAAAAAAAACATAAAAACAAGAATGAGAATAATTTCAATAATCATAGTAGTAATAAAACAAAATAGTAACCATACTAGGTCTCTCTAGCAAGGATCCCCCCACGTTCTCAGATGCAATATACTCCATTTCATTTTCCATTTTCTTTTCCATTTGATTCTCCATTATAGTAGTTTCCATTTTATTTTCCATTATCCCACTACAATGGGTTATATACAGAGCCTCATCCTCCGGCTCCGGAGGCTCTTGGACCTCGTCCTGCCCAGGCGCATGCAGCAGCGACAAGCGGATCAAAGCGTCGTTTCAATGGCTGCAAACTACACCACGAATGGTTTTGGGTTTAGGGTTTAGGGCTTACAAAGTGTACAACTTGCAAGTGAACAACTTGCAAGCGCACAACTTGCAGGCATCATTTTGCGAAGATGTAGCCAACGACTGCTCCATTATAACCCATTATTGTAGTTTCCATGTTCTTTCCATTATCACCATATAGCCCCAATATGTACACTATTATGATGTAGCTTCCATTTTCTTTTCCATTATCCGTGTATAACCCCAAAATCCCTAAACCCTAAACCCTAAATAGTAGTTTCTATTTTCTTTTCCTGCCCTACATATCCCCAATATTACCGCAAGGGCATCGTTGGCAAGCTTGAGCTTGCTGGTGCTTTCTGCTCGGGTGTCTGCTCGGGTGTCTGCTCGGGTGTCTACGGATATGCACGGATGCTGCTCATGGCCACTCACCCGCTCAGCCCGGGCAACCCTCACAAGCATCTGCTTGTTGTTGGGATGCTGAATCAGTGCAGTAGATGCAATGCCTCAAAATCTTTCCCTACCTCCCGTCCTTCTTGCGCTTTTTGCCAGCTGCCTTGGCAGAATGCTGCAAACGCCGATGTTTTCTGGATACTATGAAGAGCAGCCCCCTGCTGATTGCTCCAAGTGATGGCTGCATCGCTGCCATTCTAAACTTTAGAGGCGCTTTCGAGTTGCAGCAGCCGTTTGCAGCTAAGGTGCAGCCGTGGCCGCTGCTGTGGCTGCTGCTGCCTTTCGTTCACTGGCCTCGGCCGCTGCTGCAGGAGCCTTCTTGGCCTGTTCAGGAGTTCAGGGCACAAATGCTTCCTGGAACTTCCAGGGCTGAAACACGCAGCTCGACTTTGGCCAGCTACATCCCAAAACCCTCCCTTTCCGGCCCTCGGCACTCGAAAAGAGCCCCAAAAATTCCCAGGGGGCCACAGCCCCAAATCCCTCCGGGGTTTAGCCCCTGGCAATCTCTCACTTTGGGGGTTCCCACCGTCTGCGCCTTAACCTCATGCCCCTGTTGGAAGGGAACTTTCGGGAATTTTTGAGCTGGAAGGCGGGAAGGACAGCGACCAGGCTCCAATTACTCACGGTAAGTCTTTTTCTGGCACACGAAACATACAAAAACCCGCACGGCAATCAAAGCATGAAGGGAATCTCTGGGCCTTGCTGTCTTTGGCCTTGGGCTTCTCATCACCTTTGGCCTTTGACTTGTCGTCAGCCTTGGGCTTCAACTTGTCATCGCCCTTGGTCTTGGGCTTCTCGTCAGCCTTGGCCTTGGACTTTTCGTCAGCCTTGGGCTTCGGCTTCGACTTCTCGTCGGTCTTGGGCTTTGGCTTGCTGTCAGCCTTTGCCTTGGACTTTTCATCGGGCTTGGCCTTGGGCTTCTCCTCAGCCTTGGCCTTGCCGTCCTTTGCATCCTTCTTGTCTACGCCTTTCCTGATTCGCTTCAAGCTCTTAAAAGCTACTACATTATTATAGTAGTTTCCATGTTCTTTTCCATTATCCCAGTATTACCTCAATATTATCCCAAGATTGTACATCCATGCCCAGCCCAGGATCTTTTCATCTTTCTTTTCGGCCGCCTTTTCTGGCTTGGCAGCCTGGTGCCGCTCGGCAGCACATGAAACCGGAATCATCCCAGCAAAAAGAGGGTTTGATATAGGGTGTATATGCGCGTTATATAGGGATAATGGAAAATAAACTGGAAACTAATTACTGTATTACATAGGGTTATACAAGGGGTTATATTAGAGATCTCGGCCTTGGTTCCAGCTTCCTTCGTTTTTGGTTCCTGCCGAAGATAGACATGATTCTTGTTCGAACCGAAATCATGTCTGTTCCAGCTGCCGTCGTTTGGGTTATTGCCAAAGCTGGCTCCTCCCAATTCACGTCGTGAACAGAACAAGGCCATCAACGCAACACCAATTATAGTAGTTTCCATTTTCTTTTCCATTATCCCTATATATAGCCCCAATATAATCCCAATATAATCCCATGAAGCAAAGATGCCCGCGTACACGGCCCTTGCCTTCTTCTTTGGCTCTTTGCTTGGAGCGTTCGCAGTGTCGCCCATGGCAAAATCCGACAACCGGAGACGGGGCTGAGAATACAGTAGGCTGAAATGTGTACCTCGAAGAGGCCTGACTCAGGTTCATCTAAGAACGCATCGGAATGGGGTGAAGGCTACTTACGATTACTTTCTTATATGAGTGTTTGGCTGGACATAGGGCTGGCTAAGGCGGCTTAGGGTGGTAAGCATCACTGCGCTTGCCTTTGGCAGATGCCACCACGTGCAGGCTTGTACGCCATAAGGGGAAAACAGCAGCTCCAGCCAGAGAAGAAGCCAATTTTCAGCAGATGCATGGGAGATGAACTGGGGCCTGAAGGGATTTGAAGGATGCTGTGCCCTGGAATGCATGGAGACTGACACATGCTAGCAGCTGGACCCATCACCAGCAGTTTACATGAGCGTGATTGTCCTGGCTACAGTACTGTTTGCAATGGCCTCGAGGGCAGTGTCCCTCAGACTTCGAACCACAGCCTCGCGCAGCACTACAGGTGCTTTGCACTGCTGTGTGCTTTGGGGTGTGGGCTGCTGGATTTGCGAAGTTTGGAGACAGCAACTGCCGCAACCACAGCGATGGTGCCGCAGCAACGGGAAACTTCTCGCTAGCGTCTGCGCAAATCGAGCGACGAAATGCAACGGAAGTCATCAATAACACTTTACTCAGTCGGGTTCGGCTGCTTCTGCTCGCGGCCAGTATTGGACTCGCTCAGGTTGTTGGACAAGCTAACTCTTCGGATACAGAATGCAGAACGCTGTGACGCTCTGCTGCTGCCTACCGCTCAAGATCTTTCACGGGCACAAACCACATCGTGGCAGATCGTGGCCTTACATATAGGGGTTTCCCAAAATTAGGGGTACCATTTTGGGGGTCCCCATAACAAGGACTATAGTATATTTGGGTCTATATTGGGGTCCCCCTATTTTGGGAAACTACCATATATTGTCTGGATTTGCAAAGGTCTTCGCTCGGTGGCACTAGACAACGCCAACCGGGACCAAGGCCGCCTCCATGACTGCAAATAGTGACTATATAGGGGTTGTAGGGAATATGTTGGGATTATATGGGGATAATGGAAAAGACAATGGAAACTAATTTATTAGGGTATATTATTGGGGTTATATGGGGATAATGGAAAAGAAAATGGAAACTACAGGGACTGTTGGGGTTCTATAGGGCCTCTGGGGGCAGCCGCGTGTCCCCGAAACCGATGGTATCCAGGATGGTGAAGCGACCGTCCTCGCGGGAGCCGAACGGCTTCTATAGAACCCCTATAGCCCCTGTAGTTTCCATTTTCTTTTCCATTATCCCCATATGACCCCAGTATATTCCCTATAACCCTTATATAGTCACTATCTGCAGTTCCAAATGCTCGAAAAGGCAGGAATTGCAACCAACTGGAGCGGCAAAGCCCAGACAAATCGATGCTGCTGAGGCTCCTGGGATATCGCTTTGCGTACCTGTGCGCCGCATGCAAGTCTGGCAAACATGTCAAGCTGACACAGCAATACGCAAGCTGCGGACAGAATCCTGCTCATACTGGTAGCCAATATGATGTGCCGCAGCATCCGGGGGCCGAGGTGTGTTGTACCAAGGGCAGCTGTGAACAGATTTGGGTGAAGCTTGTTACCATTCCCATGAAGCTCCTCGTCCTACACTTGCACTATGGTTGCCCGAATGTATGTTTTATCTTGCATGATTCCTGCCAAGGTACTGAGTCAGTTGAAGTCACTGAGGCAACTGAGTCACCCGAGGCAAAAGCCTCGTGGCCTGCGGACTTGGCTGAGCATTGATTATGTTGGGGTTATAATATTGGG